CCGCTCTTAGGTGATGTGTGATGTTATTGGCCACTTTCTTATTTTCCGGCTTATTGGCCTCCTCCCTCCCTCTTAGCTCACTTACACAAGGGGCAACACCTATTTATAGATATAGGCTGCCGCCATTGTCCAAGTCGGTGGACTTGGCTTTCTTCTCATAGCCACTAGTTTACAAAAAAATTATTGACCTTTTTAGAACGCTTACAACAATTATATCTTAAAGTTTGACTTTATCGAAGTTGGTGGATATTTCTTAAAATTTCTATTTTTTTCTAGATTTTTCTAAATTCTTCAATACAAGTGTATTAAACTTAACATTTTTCCTACGACTTTGTACTTTGTCATATTAGTCGATACAATTGGGGTAAGGACTCCAAGGGGGTCTAAGTTGTACCTTTGCTTGTTCAAAAAAAAAAACAAAGGCCGTTAGCGAGGAGAAAGAAAAATAAAATCGATTAATTCTCTCAGTTGACCATTGCCACCCTCGTGGGCCATGCCTAGGCTTTACCATTGACTTTGCACACAAGTTAGGGCTGAGCAGGCTATGATTATAGCCCAATTTAAAACTGACTGATTGGGCCTTCTCTCATTCTAGCCCAGTAGTGACGGGCTCCTCGGTCAATTCTCAATTTCTAAGCAGGCACTCACCCACCACTTCAAGTCTCAACAAAATCTAGGGTTTTAGGAAATTCCTTCAGAAAAAAAAAAAAGAGGCTTCTAATTCTCTTTATTTCTCTGAATTGTGTGAGAATCAGAAAGAAAACGCAATCAAAATCGAAAGCAGAATCAGAGAAGAGAAAAAAAATGGAGGGAGGTGGAGAAGGAGAGGTAGAGAGGGTGGAGGACTCGAAGGACTTGCAGCAGCAGAGCAAAGCCTTCGATAAGCTCACTGACCGCGTCGAAGATCGCCAGCTCGACTCTACCCGCGTCCAGGAGGCCATGGCTTCCATTGCTGCCTCCTCCGAAGCCGATTGGAATGCTATGCGATTGAGGTCACTGTTCAGATTCACTCTTTATTTTTTCCTTTCTATCAAAAATTTCAATTTAGGGTTAACTTAATTGAGTTTGAATTACGTATGCGATTAAAGCACAATTTTTTTGTCATGAAATTTGCATAAAGTTGTTAACTTTGATTTGGGGTTTTGGCAGAACTGAAGTTGGGGTAGCAATAATTATATATTTGTATTATATTTTGATGCCAAACATAAGCATAAGATGAGCTTGTTAAAGACTTGGGCCTGCCCATATTTAAAGTTTTTAGCTTTCTGAAAGAGCTCCACGGCTCTCCATGCTTCATCACAATTTACAGGGAGAAGGAATTGGCTGCAGTGAAGATCAATGCAGCTGATGTTGACATAATTGCAAATGAACTAGAATTGGACAAGAAGGTTGCTGAGAGGACCTTGCGGGAGCACAAAGGTGATGCCGTTGCTGCCATTCGACACTTGCTTCACTAGAATCATGCCCTTGACAAAATGAAGATGACAAGAACTTGGGTTTCATCTTATTTTCATTGTTCAATGTTATCAGATGTTCACATTGTTGTATTGTGATTTGTGATGAGGATAGATTATTAAGAAACGTGCAGGTTTGTGAGTGTTACATGTTTGGCTTGGATTGACTCAGATTTGTTTCAGCATTTAATGGTAGATTATACCAAATAGAAGTGGCCGTCCTAATTCCTAAGATAAGATTCCATGACAAGAGGAAAGTGTTCATTTTCCTGCCCGTCCATATTGTCTGTTACCAATATGCGGTTGGCCTAACACCATCTTTAAAGATATTTTTGTCTCCCAAAACCTTTCTGCTGCAGTGGATATTATCAACTTATATGCATGTTGGACAAATTAGGGAATTCCTCTTACGGCATGCGATGGCCGTCCAATCCAATGCATTGGACCCAGATATTGGTTGCAGAGAGACACATTGACAAAGTGAAGTGCCAGGTGCTTTATAACAACCAGTGCATGTGATAAAATATCAGCAAAGCATAAGCACACAACAATTTTCAAGCTTTATTGCCGCAGAATTGCCTATGAGGGATCAATAATAATAAAGGGGGTTTACTATTATACCCAATATAGTGGTTTAAATTATAAAAATATCTTATATGAAATGAACTTTAGAAACACATTTACAACATAACAAAGAGGCTTTTAACTTCTTATAAATTACAAAACTACTATCGATTTCTTAAAACAAGCCTAACCTCAAAACCTCATTAAAAACAAACATCAAAACATTCAATCGGGCATCAAAGTAATTTAATAATCAAAATTAAATTTAATATGGTCAGCTGTTATTTTTTGGATTTATTTATAAAAATTAAATGATGTATGGTTTATTTATATCATTAGTGATAAGAATAGATATGGCTAAATATCTCTAATAAAAACCCAGTAAATTGAAATGATAAAGCAAAGAGATTGGCAACTCTCTCTATTTACTCAAATGAATATGGACTCCGCCCCTTTGTACAACCCTTTTTTTTTTTTTTTTTTTCTGAGTAATGGTGCTTGGAATTTTCCAATATAGAATCACAAAATGGGCGGCATGTGGCGCCCTGTTGCATGACACAGCGTACTTTGAAGCCCATAATTTTACTTTTGTAGGATGTCATGTCAGTGGAGTGAATAAACAACCATCATCACACAACCAAACCCATCACCATCTAAAATTAGGCAGCTCCCTCTCAGCTACTATCTATCTGCCTTTCAACTTTGTGGTTGCAAATACCACTTGCCATTTGTGGCCATCTCTGGCTAATTACCATTTTTCCAGCAACAAGTGAAAAAGCATCTATCTGAGAGTGCCTTGCTTCTTCATCCAACAATGTGGTAGATGAAGAAACCCAATGCTATGCCACACAAAGCTGAGCTACAATTCCTTTTGGGAGCTATCACCCGCGGCAGAACGTGCTGCTTGAAACTGAAGAGCATATTGTCTCTGCATGTCTCTAAGCCTTTCCAGCAGTTCTTGAAATGTTGGCCGAGAAGCTGCATCACTGGTTTTGATGAAGTTGAAATCAGCACATTAGCCGCCGTTTTACCAAAGTTGATTCATAACAGTTAGAAGAAATAACAAAATAGAATAGTCTTGAATTATAGACACCAGACACTACAGGATAATACAATTAAGCTTGACCTTCGGATGCCATCAATGTCCCTATCAAATATCCATACGACCCAACAAACGCACGCCGAACTACCTTTACCACAAAAATCAGACTACACATCTTTTGAAGACAATAAAATATTCCTAGGATAATATGATCCTTATCCACATGCAAATAATATGATCATATATAACATATATACGCCTACTTGCAGTTGGCTACAGTCCACAATATAGTGATGGTTAATGCAAAAGCCCTATTGATTAGGCTAATTCTGGCTAGAAAGGCAAGTTGGTAAAACAAGTGCAGCAAATGATATGAAGATATGCTTCTAGCAGCATGTCAAACAAAGAAAGTGAGGGTCATGTACTTTGCAACTATCATACGGACTATTTTGTAAGCATACTGACCAACTACTGAGATGATTATCACATGTGAACTGATCCCAGTTGAGGGGTAGCATTTCATATACTAAATTTAATCCTTGGATCTAAAATATGAAATCAACTAAGAAGCATGGAAAGAATTACTACCTCTGCCAGCAGCTCTCAATCATAGAAGCCCACTGAGGGTCCACATCTTTTGGGATCTCTAGCCTTTGGTTCATAAACCCTACAGCTCCAATCACCTGCAAGTCTCCTAAAAAAATTGTTGTTCATATGTGCACACAATATGTCCTGGCCCCTTTTGTTATTATTATCAAAAGAAATGGCATATTCAAGAGATACTACTAAGAATGCTTGGTTCATTTCTCGCCATTGAAAAATAAGGTTTGTGGGAGAACTGAGGATATTGAGTTTAATATTACATCTCTAAAAGAAGGTAATAAACAAATACAAAAGAATTTAATTTATGTAAGTTTACAGAAATGTTGTGCTATCTTTCGTTCTTGAATAGTGTCTGGATATTTTATCAAAGAAAACAATACCTGCATTGAGTTTAGATTGTCCCAAGGGATCTTCTCAGTAACAAGCTCCCACAATATCACCCCATAGCTGTATATATCAGACCTATATACATCCATCCAAACAGCACAAAGAGATATAAATTTAGTTATAGAAACCATAGAAGGAACCAAGACACTGTTAAGGTAAATATTCCAGATGAACAATTACATACTTCTCATCTGAGGGTTCATTACGTAGAACTTCTGGTGCCATCCATTGAGGCTACAAAAAAGAAAATTGCCACATGTAAGTGAGAATTTCAAAATTTTATGCAGGCTCATATATAGTGACATTAGACTGATTGGTTTAATATAATTAGTAAAGACGAGTTAAAATACCGTCCCCTTCCCAGTCTTGGTTGTGAGAAATGTATCATGCTTGAGACGCGAAAGACCAAAATCACCAACCTGTTCAGATAACATTAAATGGGTCATTGTTTAACTTGATAGAACTGCTGTGTAACCCAAAGAAGAAAAAACTGATGGACCACAAAACTTCAAATAGAGGGATTTAAGAAATAGAAACATGACCAGCAACAGACCTTGACAGTCCAGTTCCTATCAACTAGGAGATTTGAAGACTTAAGATCCCTATGAATGATAGGTGGATTGAAATGATGAAGATAATTCATGCCTCGTGCCTGTGGAAAATTCAGTATTTCTTGATGAGGTTACTCTAATATATATCGTTTTTGTACTATTACTCAATAATACTCACTATATCTATTGCCATATGAACACGTCGTCTCCAGTCTAGTTTTGATGTGTTCCTCTGTAGTAAGCGAAACAAACTTCCACTGCATTAAGAGAATATTGACATGAGTGGCACCAGTGAACTCGCGAAGTACGTTAAAAAGGATATATGAACTTCCAGAAATGATAAACATAAATTCAGACACTAGTAAATATAGAGCTTCCAGAAAGGGAAGTTCAGAACCAACCGTGGGAGGAACTCTGTTACAATGCAGAGACGTTGAGGTGAAGTCACAGCTCCCATAAAAAGCAGAACGTTTGGATGTCGAAGCCTTTTCATAAGAGACACCTTGATAAACAATACCATATTGTAACATCAGCATTTAACAAAATCAATAACTACAAAATTAACCATAAAGACAAACGACGAAAGGAATGCCATAGAAATATTTTTTTGCAGTCTGGCATTGGGTGGTCAAGATTGTCACACCCACAAGTCCCTTCTAATATGGAATGTACATTACATAATCCCATACTCATCAAGAGAAATCTCCAAAAGGTATATTCAAACATTCCAGTCAAACTCTCATCTGCTTCCTAAGTACATAAGCAAGTGCAAATCATATGCAGCTAGAAAGCACACCTCTTGTCTGAAGGAAAGTATCACATCTTCTGCATATTCTTGCTTGGAGAATACCTTCACAGCAACATCCTGTAACAGCAAAGATATCAGTCAAACACATATGAACATTATATGCTCGCAATACTTCTAATGCTTCTTCACCTTCCGTATTCTAAACAATTAAAACAGTATAAACATCCCACATGCATCGTCATCATACCACACCTAGTTCGCATGAATAAGAAGAGTTGTTCACTGATACTGCAAACACCCATATTTATAGACTTTTTCTCGAACAAAACCATATTATATAGACTTTGATATGTTTGACATTTCATCCAATTTTATGCTTTAGGCATAACATGTAGGCATGGAACACTATGGTCATCAAGACAGTTAACGAGCTTTTTTTTCTTCTGGGCAAGCGGTGTTACTGCTTGCAATTTGAACTGCATTTTGTCTTCGTTAGGTAATTGGAATTCTTTTTATTTATTTTTTTGTTTGAAGAGAAAGGTAATTGGAAATCATTACTTGAACATATCACTTCGGTTAGATCTGGAAAAAAAAAATTTAGCATCCACTTCAATTTGTAGTTAACTAAAGAAAGAGTCAGAGAACATACCGATCCATACCACAGACCATGGTATACAGTTCCACATGAACCTGCAGAAAGAGGAAACGGTAAATAGATATCAAAATGAAAATAAACCAAGAATAAAGTCACAAGAGAAATTGTGTTGGCCCTTAGATGGACATTTTGGCAATCAAGCATGTCCCATAATCAGAGTCACCAATGATTCAATGCAGTAGATGATTCAGGAACGATGAAATACATAATGGACAACCCGCTTAATCACCTTTGGTCCTTTGGGTGATTACAGACATGTTTTACCAGCATCAATCAAACAGTTTCGAGAAACGAAGAATATTAATTCTTCAAAAGCATGCACTGGTCACTTGAAAGATGATTACCTTGCCCAACCTGTTCTCCGATTATCAAGTCTTCCCACAGGATTTCGTAATCCAGGCAGTCACTGTCCACATCCACCTTATTCACAGCACTACTGCTGGTACTTCCACAGCTGCTGGCACTGCTTGTGCTGTTCACATTAAATGAGGAGGTCCAAGATCCAGAAGCCTCATTATTTGCAGTCCGATTATTTTCATTCACCTGACTCTCTGGTTTTGAATCAAAATAACTCTTCTGATGAACCAAATCATTTTCTTGCTCATTATGCAACCAAGGCCAAACAAAACGAGTAGTCTTAGCATCTGACCCTTCTCGCTCATTCCCTTTCCATGGCCATGATAATCCTTTCTTACCCATCCATGCTTCTGCTTTTGTTGATATTATCTTTTGGATTGAAGGTTTTCCTTCACTCTCATCGCCAGAATCTCTGGAGGGTTTTCCTGGAGACTTCTCATCAATCTGGGAGAACACACCAAAAGGAGATGGGGGCATATCTCCTCTAGGTGTGCTAGCCCCACTTGAATTTGCATCCTCCCGCTGGTCAGAGAAAAGAGAATCTGAACCATGATCCGAATAATGACTATCTTCACTCCCACCTTCGCGATCCATGTTGTTTTCTCCTGCCCGAATTCTCGACTTCACTTTGTTGCTCACTTTGGATGCCTGTTTCATGACTCTTAACAATCAGCATGCGCCATTCAATACTAAATCAAAGGAAAAGGGGAACTATAAGACTAACCAAATTTGTTAATTTTGATGCAATTGCATTTTGTAGAGGCTGCTGAGGATCAAGGCCAAGTTTAGCTGTAACACTAGCTCTAGAACGGCTGTAGCTTGAATCTGATTCTGGGTGCTTCGCACCTGACAATGGAATCCTCGTTTCTTGAAAGGGCCGTATATCACTTGACACACTTATAATCCCAATAAAAGTGCCATCATCATCATAGAATGGAGTATTCGTTACAATGGCAGTAAACCTCTCCCCAAACTTGTTCTTGACAGGGAACTGCCCAGTCCAGCTCTCCCCCTTGGTGACACGGTGGATAATATTATTTGCTACAGCAACGTCCTGGGGTTCTACTAATAGCTCAATGGGACTCTTTCCAAGGGCCTCTGCCGCAGAAAAACCATATAGGTTTTCAGCACTTTTGTTCCTGCAAAATTAAATTTTCCCAAATGCACCAAACTGAAACTTTCTAACACAGAAACCAAACTTCAAAGCATAAATACTCAATCTCATTTTAACACCACAAATTAACAGTTGCAACGAGAAATCAAATGACCCCCCAATAATATAACAAATAATGAAAAGAAAAAGAAAAATATAAGCAATCCATACTAATCCCAAAACAAATTTCACCCATACAAAAAAACCTCGACAGAAAAAAAAAATTCAAAATCTGCAAGACCAACACTTTAATTGAGCTACTCACCAGTAAATTATATGGCCATTAAGATCAAATATATGCACAGACTGCCCAATTGACTGCAATATGTTCAGATACTGCCTATCAGTAAAGTTCACAGCTGACGGCCCGCTGCCACTTCCACCGCCGCCGCTGCTAGCACTGCCACCGACGCCACGGAAGGTGCCTCCAGTCGGAGGATCATGGCTGCGGCTCTCCCTCTGAAGCGGCGACGAATGCCGAAACGAAGTAGACCCTTTCTTCCAAGCCGCCGCATCGAAACCTCCACTACCACCACCACCACCGCCAGCGCCGGCACCGACTCTCCTTTTAGGCACAGACGATAACCTTGAGCGCTGTGGCGAAACGGAGTGAGCCCTTTGGTGCTCTGATTTGACATCTTCAGAGTGCCTGAGCTTGGACATCTCTTGCTTGAGGTGGGCGTGACCTGCTTCAAGTACTTGGATCTTCTTGAGAAGCTCCTCTGGAGGTGGACTGTCCATTGAAAGAAGCTCCAAGTTTGAAGCAATACACAACAACCCAATTGAGAGTCTTCAATGAAATGAACAAGCTTGGTTTGAAAATGGTATTATACCAAGCTCGAGAAGAAGAAGATTCATGGGTCTGTCTCTCTCTCTCTCTCTTTGCTTCTCCAATAACCCAAAATGAGAAAATAATGGAGACCCAGTTGATGATCTTGAAAGCTACCTATAAGCAACTACTAAGCATGGGTTGAAATTGATAAGACAGAGTCAGAGAGATTGATGAATCTCTGTCCCTCTTTTCTCAAAATAACTGCATTCTTTCCTTTGCTTGCTTCCTATAATAAGTGCAGTCAAATTACTTGCTGATTTGAGAGGTCAATAGCATACTAAACATCTCTGTTTACTTTTTTGTTTTCTGCTTTTGATCTTCTTCACCTTCTTCTTCTTCTTCTTCTCTCTCTTACTCTCCCTCTCGCTCTTAGGTTTTAGCGTATTCTTTCTGCTGTCACCTCTCTCTCAGACTCTCTTGTTTTGGGCGGTTTTGCTGTTTTCTCTAATTTTTTATCCCATCATCATCATCATCTGAATCTTACTATTTAGACCATAAGTTATGTACATGCTTAATCTCTGCAAATGCTTTACCCACGCGCGGAATAAGCGAGTACATCGACTAACCAATCATTCTTCCTGATTTTCACCTTTTAACTCCAATCAGCAATGGGCGTCTTCACCGCCCGAGCTGCTGTGTTTATCTTCTGCAAGTAAGGCTTTTCCTTTTCCGCCAAAAGGCCCTCTTAGTTAGTCTATTTCCACTCCTCTTTTTGATCCTACCACCCCCATCTTTTTTAACTTTGCTTCTTTTTTTGGAGGCCATGCAAAATAATAATATTGTACGTCATAAATTCCAAGTGCGCAAGGCAATGTCCATTTTTGTCCATAAATTTCTTCTTCTTCTTTTTTTGGAATTTAATTGGTCTATTATCAAAGTCATGTTTAAAAGATGGGATTGGGTTAGCTTGAGGCTTTAGATTACTTAATTTGCATTTGCACATAATATACATTGGACTGACTTGTAGTTCACCTATAATGAGTTTACAATTTTGCCCTCAGCTCTCTTATGGTATGCAAATTGTGTTCTATGAGAAACTATTTCATAAAGGGAGGGATAAGGTTAGGTTAATGAGCTCATGAGGTTCGTTCATACATATCATGAGAAAGGGGCAATTCTGTGCTCTAAAAGCTGTCTAATCATATGTTTTTGGACTTATTAGGAACCTGATTTACCAATGGTAGCATACCATAAATGGAGAAGAATTTGTGTTGGTTGGCTTCCTTTAAGGCCATGATATAGGTGGTTGAAAAGGGTCTTGACTCGCAGACTAAATATCTTGAATTTGAATTTTCACTTTGTTATAGTTGTATGTGATGAATTCCCCTTCCCGTTAATTTAAACTATCGCTTATATTATAAATAAATAAAAATAGCTTAATATGGTCTGGCTTAATTGAAGGAGAGGAGAATGAGAAATTATACTATATCATGTCGTCATCATGTGATATTTCCACTCAAATATTGCCACTTGTCCAATTTGAAAAAGAAATGATTTGCTTTTTCACAGTTGGACTTTTACTTAATTTTCATATTTTGAAATAGAATTAGAAAAATAAAAACAAATTAAAAAGTACCATAGCCGCCATCCCTCTCTCTTTCTCTTCCTTTTTCAAACAATGTAGTTATCTTCCATAATGCACCTACACCTTTCTCTGTTTTCTCTCAGACCTCGACCTTTCTTATATTGCCACTGCCCGATCCTTATTACCCAAGCATGAACCCATTTTGAATTATCAAGACTACTTCCCAACTAATAGCATCAATACCAGCTTAATCATCCTCCCTCTAAACCCAATCCCACTGCGTAAAATTAGTATAAGGGGTACAGAGAAAGAGGAAGGGAGAGGGGTTGGGCTGGGGTGCTGCTGCTGTTGGGGCAATGCTCCTTCTTTTTAATATAAATTTATTATCAAGTCTTTTATTTTTCTAATTCTTGAAATATAAAAATTGAGAAGTCCAGCTGTAAAAAAGTAAATTATTTAATTTAAAAAATAAACACATGATAATATTTGAATGGGAATATCATAAACTGACGTAATATATCTGTATTACTTTATAATTTTTCGAAAAGAAGACACATAACATAAGCACCAATTGGGGTTTGACTCGGTTATCCTCTTTGAGTTTTGCATTATTGGGTGGCTTTTTTTTGTTTACTCTTTCTCCTTCCTACCCTTATCTGTCTTTTTGTATTTAGAGCTTTGCTTTCAACATTTGTATAGAGGAATGCCAGTTGGTAATATGTGTGTTGACAACTTGACAATCCTTTATAAGCACTAATAACGTTTAATATTTGTCTTATATTTATTCATTATTTATTTGCACATATACGGCTTATGTCAACTTGTTAGGTCAATGCATCGGTCTTATTGTACTCAAGTTTGAATCTCTCTATCTAGATTATAGTACTTAAAAAAATATCCCCCGGTAAAAAAAAATTCATTATTTATGTGCATGAATAACGTTAACATTCATCTCATGTTTATTTGACACTCGTTTTTATCGTTCATGCATGTGAGAGATGGTTAACATTTTTCTTGTATTCTTCAATCCTTTCTCTTTTCTGTATTTAGAGCGTTGCTTTCAACGTTGGTGTAGATAAATGTTAGTTGGTAATCTTGTATGTGCATGAACAAGTTTAATATTTTTCTTGTATTTATTTGTTGTCCACGCACACATGAATAATATTGTACATTTATCTTTTATTTATTTTACATGTGCGTGTCTCATAATCGCTAGTATGCGCGAGAATCATGAATAATATTTGACATTTGTCTTATATTTATTTTGCGTGTGTCTCGTATTCGCTGGAATGCGCGAGAGTCGGTGAACATTTGCCTTTTATTTTTCAGTTAAAACGTTTTCTTCCTTGTAATGGGACACTTTCAACTTTGGAAGCAAGCGGCAAGTTGCCCTGTCTCTCTGCCTCTAGAACAAAAGTGTTTACACTAAAACTAGAACTCAGTTTGCGTGCACAGCATTACAATGGGCGTGCAAGCACACAACTTTTGGAGTGAAAGAGACAAAGAGCAGCAGCAACAAAGCTTCTTGTTCTCTCTCCAAATATTATGGGATAATATTATCATTAAAAAACGAAGCAAGTGACACTTCCATTATTACCATTTAAGTGCTGAACTTTACCATAAAATATCCTTATCTCATACCAAACCCAAGCATCTTGTAAGCTCATAGTGACCTATCAAGTTGACTTAGGCGCATTACATCCAATTCTACAATAAACTAAGTATGGGGACGATTTTGACAGATGAGAGACAAGACAACAAGCAAGTTCTAAAATCCATCCAGCTCTAAGAAAAATGGGCAACTGTAATGTATAATATTACTCTTGTAGACACCCACTTGCCCAAAGAAGTTACAATTCACAGCAAAAATGGGATTTTTTTTATTAATAATAATAAAAACTAATATAATCAATGAGGCTGGTAAGGCACTCTGCTGTACCAGAAAATTTTAGTTGCACCGGTGATCCGCGGCTAATAATTCTATGCTACATGGAAGTGTTATCACGGGTGTCATAACATTATTAGCAGAAATAGCAAAATAGTGTCATCCCTGTTTTATGGAAGTCTATCTTCGATGTTGACAGACAGAGGTGATCCAAAGTATATCTTCGCCAAGACAAAAACATATATTACTCAGACAAGTCATCCATGTTTCATTAAATCCAGCAACTAGAAGATGACTATCAGTATCAGCTTTATTACACAGAAGAAGTATTATACATTATAAGGGAAAAGGCCAAAAAGCTTTCGCTGTGGGCACTTTGAGAACATGCAGCGGAAACGACTTAGTACAAGCAATCAAGTAGAAACATGCGAAAGAAAGATGTGACTCAATCTAACAAGTCTCCTAACGGAAGAGCTTTTGATCGTGGAAGCCTCTCTACAATTACCTCAAATGGACCCACTTGGTCCTTTTCAATGAATAACACAGGGCAGCACGCTAATGCATTAAGATTTGGCTTAACTGCACTAGAGAAATCTTAAGACTGCACGTAGACTATCGGCTACCTTACTCAAGCATGTTTGTCATTTGAACTTGTGTAGTCGAACAGCAATCTTGGATAACGCAAACATGTTTTGAGTTTTGTCAAGTACCCTTGAAACGAATCTGGTAGCTTTGGTGCCCGGTGCAGTTTGTTCTGGGAGAAGGAGCATCTCCTGCTGAGACTATAAAGTCCTGGATATCCAATGACCTAGTCAATACTCTTTGTACTCCGAGGCATAGGAAACTCAAGAATAATTAAGAAATAACATCTTTCTGACTCTCTGATATATTGGACTTCTCCATTCATGAGCTTTAAAATCTTCCTGCACATGCTCAGTCCTAGGCCCTCCTGAGTCATCCATTGACTGCTATGGAACATATCTTGAACTAATTGAGGAGGAAGACCGTCACCAGGACATACCAACCTTCACCATAAACACTGTATTAGTCATTTACATATAAAAACAATATCCATGCCAATAGGCAATAACAATATAAGAAGAAAAGCGCTGCTTTTGTGCATTGCAATTTGCAAGTGATGCCCAACAAGACTAGCCAAGGGATGTTTGAATGGACTATGAAAAAAGTTGGCAGACAGAGATTTTACAATTGTATGCCATTAAGCACATAATCATTCTGGGCAGACTATGCCAAGAGAATGCAAGAGGACCATAAGTACAAAACAGATCTTTGCATTACCGACCCATAATCACCCAACCAAATTATTCAACAGACGTCAAGGCTCAGAGACCATGATTGCAATTTTGCTCCTACAAAACATAGCAGATAGTTTTCAAACCTATGGGTTCAACAAGACAGCCACAGTCCAACCCAACAACGCCTCCTGGTTGGTTGAGGTTCTTAATTTGAGCCCATGGGACATCAGGTAAAGTCAGGTTGCAAGGACAACTTGCGTACATAATTATCTTGTCACCATCAACATCCAACTAATAATATATAAATACTGAGAAGCCAAAGTACCTGAATTCAGTATGAAGCAGAGTGACTCCATCAGGTACTTTCTTCAAGCTTGGAAGAACATGAATCTCCACCCAACCTTCTGGAGATGGTGCATAACGTACCATATTCAATAAGAAATCAGCTAAGACCTGCTGAATTCTCACTTGATCACCACAAACAGCCAATGTTTTGATTTCTTCAGGAATATCCCGAATCAATTGTAGATCCCTTTCCCTCAGCAATAACATTACTTGGCTAACAACAGCGTTTATGACACTCCCAAGAAAGAACTCTGACTTCTCAAGCTCCAGTGATCTAATTCACCAACCAAAAAAAAACTTAATTGTGTTTTTCCTATTTTCAATTATAAAGAAATTTGGATACAGGTATTAATAATG